CCACAACGACTACGACGACGACGACGACGACGACGACGATTACGACTACCTACGACTACCTGCGACTACCTGCGACTACAATACCTACGATGACCTGCGCCCACCTACGACAACCTACGACTGATACCACCACCACGACCACCACAACTTCATCTATAACAAACAACTACTACTGCTGCTGCCACTACGACTACGCCGACGAGGATGACGACGATGGTAAATTTGCTGATTTGCCCCAGAACTACAAGCCCGCGCTTCGAACGTGCAATGTAGATTCCACGGACCCAGGGGGTGGGCGAAGCTAGCCAATCTCAGTTTGCTGTTTTTCCTGAAGACCCCGGTTTAGGATTGTCTGTGAAGGGTTGAAGGTTTAGGGTCTGGAAGGCGACTGCTGCGGGAAACTCTGGTATGCTAAGCATGTCATGCTTCTCAACTAGATGACACTAGATGGTAGCATGAAAGCCAGTCTCTACCAATCGTTATCACGGCAGCTGTAGCACCAGCAACCAGCAGCAGCAAGTAGCTAAGCAGCAGCTGTTCTAGCACCAGTAGCAGTAGCAGCGGTAGCAGCGCTACCCAAAACCACAATCGCTGCAAGACGCAGGAGGCAGGCTAGAGAAGCCGGGAGCCCAAAACTCTGGGGCACAAGCAATAGATATCGGGACAACCAACTTCAACTGCGAGGCTGTCTGTGGCAAACAGAACCCCATGCCCAAGAATCTTTTCAACCCAAACCCCTAGACCCCAAACCTTAAGCCCAAAATGACCTCAAGACCATAATATAGGGACCTTACTAATTAGACTAGGGTTTTGGGGCCCATTACACTTTAATCATATTTAATAAGGAACCCCCAAAATAGTGTTGGTAATCATCTAGGCGCCTGTATTAATGAAACAAGATCCGCCTTCCCGCTCCCCTGGGTCACTTGGGTTTTGCGATGCTCTTGGTTCAGACGTCCAGGGCGTAGTAGGGCTCCCATGGATCCACTGAAATCTGGGTCTCCGCGAACTTGCGCCGGCAGCTTTGCCAACTTCGGCAGATAATAAACCTTAAGGGCCAGGGAGTCAGTTGCTTGATCTGTGTAGTGCTTGATAAACACACATACCAGTCTTGTGTGTGTTTGCTTGTGTTATCTGCTTACTTGCACTAGAATCTAAAAACCTATTGATTTGCTCGTTTATCTGTACACGTAACTTTGTGCTGTTGATGTCTTTCTTTATATGTGCTTGTGTTTGTTCATCTTCTTAGCACTGGTGTCATGCGACTTTATCATTGCGCTAGCAGTTCACCGCACGGCTACAGTTCGATGGCTCGGGGCTAGAGGGACGTCTTGATTTGAGGCTTCCTCTGATTTGAGGCTCTCCATGTCTTTCATGGGAAGCGTGACAAGGCTGTAGGTAGCTGCGAAAAGCCAATTCTTCCACAGTACTGGCAGCTTGCCATTTCTCACTCTGCGACTCGGGTGGCCAGGAACCCGACAGTGAACTTCAGCGCCGAATGTCTTCGCAAGCCAAACCCTCCCGATGCAGAGGCTCCCTGTAATGAGAGCAGCTACAGTGCCCCACCCTAGTAAACCAAGAGGTGCAGCCAAGCTGCATGCTCGAGACTGTTCCAAAAATTAAGAACCATGCACTCCTGGTAAAGCCCAGGACGGCCGCAGGGGCCAATAAATACCTCGGGATTTCGGCTGAAACGTGGCTGCTGGCCTTCTGCGGCGGTCTGAACTCGAAGCGCGGGTTCTCACTTAGAGGCTGCACTCAACTCCACGGAGTCGACTTTCGTTCAGTTTAGGGTTTAGGGTTTAGGGTTTAGGGTTTAGGGTTTAGGGTTTAGGGTTTAGGGCAGGCTTACGCCACGTTCTGGATCAGCTCGTGGCACAAGCGATGTCTGAACCAGAGAGGCCCACAAAACGCCTACCTAAGCCCCCTTATACCCAAGATATCTTACGGTTTGGGTGGCAGTGTTTGGAAGATTTGAGAACCGATCAAGATGTCTGAACTCGACACATGCATTGCAACTGAACTGCTCATCTGCTTCTATGTCAGGACTTCAGGTTCTTCGCGCTAAGCTCCAGACTCAGGCTATGAGCAAGGGAGGCTTCAGCGTTTTACCCTAAACCCCAAATCTAAAGCCGGGCAAGGCACGAATTAGTTGCACCTTCTGTCTCGTCTCCGTTCTGTGCGTTGGAGCCCGAGCTGGAAAAATCCTCCACGACAAGGCTATTCCTCGGCTCTGAGTCTCTCAGACGCTGAGCAAAGGATGCTTCTTGGGCACTGCAGGGGGGTCATCAAGGGACTGCACAGGGAGGAAACCTGGAAGCCCCTAAACCCTAAACCCTAAACCCTAAACCCTGAGGGTTGGAGCCTTGAACAGCCCGGACCCCCGAACGGTCTGCCATTTCCTTGAGCTCTGCATCTCCTCCTTCCGTGCAATCCCGCCTCTCTCAACTCTCTTCTTCAACAACCAGGCCCAAAAAAGTTCAAACTTTTTAGGATAGACCTCATATATAAGGCCCAAAAAAGTTCAAACTTTTTAGGGATAGACCTCATATATAAGACCAGAAAGTCTAAAGTTCTCCCGTTGGCTATCTAAGTCAACCCGGAACCTGGCAATCCCTCTCGTGCTGGACGAGTAGCTGAGCGAAGACCTGCCAAGGTCGAGTGTCCACTTCAATCTAGGAGCCGTGATAACTAGAATAAGGTTGCGGGTGAACTGTAGTATATCTATATAGGGACGATAAGGGGATATTCTTACCAATGACTCCGACTAATAGCTCCGGTGCGGGGTGTAAGAATCCGCTTCAAAAGCCCCTTGCCCCCACAATCACGGCTAGCAGGATGGATTCTGATTCTGGGCAGGGCAGGTCTTGCCAAAGCCGTATGTAGATAGATAGGTTGAAAGGCAACATCAGACAAGACAAGACTAGCTAAGCCACGAAAGGATAAGATTAGATAATAACATAGGAGAACACCCGATCAGGTCAGATCCACCTATCTGTCTATGTAGCTACGTATCTCTCTCTCTCTCTCTCTCCCCTCCAGCTCTCCATCTCGCCGTCTCCATGTCGCTCCGTCTCTCGTTCTCTCCGTCTGACAGTATGTTTGTCTTTCTGTCCGTCTGTCTGTTTGTTTTTATTTGTCTTGTATATCTATCTGTTTAGCATATTAGCAGCGTACTTCTCGACCTATCTACTTATCGCTTAACTGTCTATGTATCTCGGTATAAGCTCATCTATATACATCTCTGTTCCTCTATCCATCTGCTTATCCAAAAAGTCAGTTTTATCCATTAAACTCATCGTCAGTGTGATTTATACCGTAACTATCTGCTACCGTCAACCAGCTGATACAGGGTCTGTCTTTAAATATGCCACCAACACTACTAGCTAGTACTGCCTGTAGTGACGCAAAACACATTACACTCCATTCACCGGCGCAGGCACTGTCATCAAGAAACTGCCTTTTTGGAAACATCAAGGGCAGGAGTCTTGATTCAGGGTCCAGTGCTGCTGCCACGGCAATCTGTGCTCAAAAATTAGTCTAGAATCCGTCGTATCTGCCACGACTCAGGCCGAACACTAAAATGCAGAATTCCTGTGATATCCTCCGCCACTGTCCCTCCACGCCTCACAGAGATTCTCGAGTTCTTGATTCGCCACGGTAAACAGCCCCTTTCGGCGCATCCTCGGAACTCTGAGTGCTTCTTGGTTCAGGATGGTTTCGGGTTTAGCGCTGTAGGTGTTGGGGTTAGGGTTCAGGATTTGTTGTTTGCGGGTCTCGCATGGGCCTACGAGAGTGCCAGGAGATAAACACTCCGCAGAGCTCGGCGATATTCGACGTCTTAGTGGCACTCTCCGGCGGTCTAAGGCTGATGGATCGGGAGCCGCGGCCTCCGGTGAACGACGTGGGCCCGCAAGGGAGCCGAGGAAAAGGCTCGCTACGGAGAAACCTTCACAGCAGTGACGACGACAGCACTAGTAGAACAGCCCCATCAGGCAGTCTGCCGACGTTGCTGAGCACTGCATGAGAGCATGAGGATGTGCAAGGAGTGCTAAAGTTTCTACGGGCGCTGTTCTAGGCATTGCTGCCGCGATTAGCTGGATAAGTAAACGGACCCGGACCGACAAGTACACATGAACCAGGAGAGGTGTACAAACATAACACTCACGGAAACCAACTACATCCTTTTGCAGCTGCAGGGCTTTTGCAATGCCTCCTCCGTGAACGTCATGAAGTCCCCTGTCACTGGGGTTTCTGCATCTTCTAGTCATATGGTCGGGGACTCAGAGGCCTCTGAATTGCCGCTACAAGTTCCAGCGCAAGTTGTACTATAAGCGGGCCGGATCGCAGATTCTCATAGGGCTACTACTTTGGGTTACAACATGGGGCACAATAAGGATTGCAGGCTTGAGTCTACAGTCTCTGCATACCGAACTCCGGCAGCTTTCAGTTGGACATGCCTACTTCTATGAAGCCCCGAGCATCCCGTCCTACATCAGAGCGGGGTAGGAAGGCCATGATCTTTCGGTCCTGACGCAGGGAGCTTCGACGAAAACAGTCTCTGCACCCGTCTCTGATGTGCAGGAGATGAACGCAAACGCGACCAACCGCTGAGAATCTCAGAAGAAGGCACGGGCCCCAGCAGCTCGAAAGAACTGAAAGCACAAAGGCAACCAGGCCGGTCATTGGAGGTCATGATGATGTTTCTAAGATCGGAGAGTCAAAACCAATGCTGCCAGATTGAGCCGAACAAGTGCTTGCTTCGGCCGCGGCAACGCTGTCCGATCTAGAGTACGGCTTGGTGTCAACATGGTTTTTCTAGAATTCCAGATGAAATGCTTTCTTGGCATTCCAGAGTCCGGAAAAAGAACCGTGAGCAGCGGCTGGGGTAGTCGCAGCATTCTGCCTGCATCGCTACAATTCTGACACTGCTCCACCCAAAAGAAGTCGAGGCCAACCACCCGACCGGGAATTCACAAGTCGCCACCACAGCAGCGGTCCGGAAACCGTTGACAGGCCATCTGCAGCTCGTGCTCGAGAAAGTACCTTTGATCACCAAGGGGAGGGCAGCAAGGAGTAGGCCGGAACTGCTGTAAAGGATCGTCTCGGCTTCACCAATGAACAAAAGACGACAAGCATAGACCAATGGACTCCTACGCATAGTCACTGGCAGCCTAGAACAACAAGAGGTTGAGTCTCCCAGATCCCGCAAACCCTTAAACCCCAAACCCCGAAACCCTACAAACCCCTAAAGCCCTACACCTTCTAAAAGCCTGACCATGTTGAGGCCAAGATTAGGACAAGACCCCTTCCGCAGCGCTTCCGACCCTAGGGCGTAACCCTGAAGAAGCAAGGTCATGCTAGTACTACTTTGGGTCTGTAGTAGGGTCCTCACACGAAGGCCCCCCAAATCTTGCGACAGAAGGCTTGGGGCTCAGGGTCTACCCTCTGCGCGCCTTTGCTGCATGAGGCTCGCCTCAAATTCTAGAATCCGCAGTCCGACATCTTCATCTGCCTTACAGCATCATGGGGGGTGGCAAGGACTTCGCCGACACACGTAGTGCAGAAGGTTGCCGAAGCTGGGTGTAAGATGCCAAATCCCTAAAACAAGGTGGCTGCGTTTCCCATAATATAAACAATAACGACAGAAGTAGATACATGTACAAGATATAATCTGTACCTGCTATATACAGCTACATAAAAAAAGCCTACAGAAATCACAAACTGACGGACAAGTCGCGCCTAGGCAACACTTTCAGAAGTTAGTTCTGCGATTTCTTTTGGGTTAAGGTGCAGCGCAGGACCTTCTTGCTTCAAATCGCTTCTTTGTCCTATTGTGAGAAGGGCACATGCAATCCCTTTCTAGGTTCATGTCAAGCACGAATGCTACGAAGTGTACCGCGCACTGCAGAAAAAGATGCTGTCCCTTACGCTGCGTATACAGTTCAAGCACATGAATGTAAATGAACACAAGTACCCGAAGATCGAGACCCAAACCACCAAGTACAAAATACATGTGAAGGCTATGATACAACTACACTGAATCTGCATATGATTGCAAAGTCATGAATACTACTACACACATGCATGAATATACAGATAGTGATGCATACGCGCGCCCATGCACATACGCATGCACATACCTAATACCTACAGATGGTTACATATGGTTAATTATGGTACATAGGCACACACATACACGCATTCGGCTTGACAGGGCTTTACGCACCCCCAGTGTCCACGACTCTGAAGACCAAAACCGATCAGGCCCAAGGTTAATAAGTCTGTGCGAATGCAGGTGCCTTGATAACTAACTAGAGCAGGTTCTTTTTTTTGGGGGGGGGGTACATACTAAGACTGCAATGAACATATCGGGACAGTAGGGGGGACAATGCTACGAATCATCTAGACTACTTCACAAATCCCAAGCGCGAAGGACCCAAAGTCCCTTCCGTCCAAAGCCAACTTTCGAACCCCACAGCTCAGGGCCCAAGACGACAACCCACTTCCCCCGGGGGCCGTGCAGCATACAGCTTCGGAAGACTTGGAATGAGAGTGTTGCTCGACATCGGGTTCAGCTCGACCTTGGTGCCACAATCCCCAAGAGAAGGTCATGAGGGGCCACCCTGCTACGGAGCCAAACAAATGGACAACCCCGAAGAACTCAGGACTGCCTGCATTACCTACTTCGCAGTGGACCAGAGTATACTGTGTTGTGGGGCTTTTCCTGCTGATGACCCACAGACAGCTTTCATGCTGTGCAGAAACCCGAGTGAGAAAGGCTTGGGGCAACTTTCCGATGAAGGTACAGAGGGAGAATGCACAAGTCATGCAAGGCAAGCTTTATCCTTTCAGGCTCCGATGCTGCAGCACACTGCAGATGTACCTTCATCGCCAGCACGTGCCGAACCATGAACACAACGGAAACTGCAAAGCCCCTGCCGAATCTCGACGCACCAGGACCAACGATGTCGGATTAGCCTCCTCATCCCTCCCTCCACACCACAACAACAGGTTCGACATCATCACCAAATCAAGACATGACCACCACCCTCGTCAGCAGCAACATCGCGTTTCCCGTGACCGTCAGCATGATCGTCGTCATTGTCCCCATCACCATAGTAGTCAGACAAGTAGTGAACGTTGAGAATCACCGTCGCCATCACCACCCTTGCCACCACTGTCAAAAACACCATCGCGATGTACAGTCTCCTATGCGGTTCAGCCCTTATTCCTTCCAGGGCACCACGATGACTGTTTGGGCGCCCTCTTCCAGGGCCTTGCCCATTGGCAAAGGAAGCGCGACACTACCGTGGTGAGCGGTGATGGACAGAGCTTGTGAGGACCTCCAACGATGGATTGATCTGGTCTGCCTTGGATACAGCACAGGCCTGGGGTTTAGGGCTTAGGGTTTAGGGTTTAGGGGTGTGGGGTGTGGGCTGCTCGCCTTCATGATCGGCGTGTTAGCCACGAACCCGCCGTCGATATAGCCCACACCATCCACCTGCGGCGATGCAAGCTGTACATAGAACGCAGTTCAACAGACAACGACTGAATAAATGGAGCTTGCACCAAACTTCCGATCAAGATCAAGGCATCAACAATCCGAAACCGAGCCGGCAACTCTTGATCATCGACTGGCTTGGACCCCTTGCTCGAACGAACACGAGGAATGCAACTACAAGTGTTGAAGAAAACCTGTTCGTCACCATTGCGAGTCCTGTAGAATCCTCTGTTTTCGCAGGATCCCGAGACAAGAGACAGCGGACCCATGTCTTGCTGGCAGGGGCCATCCGAAAGCCGCGAAGGCCACTACATTACCTGGCCCTCATTAGCAACCCTAAACTCCCCCAGCCACGAGTAGAACCCATCTGGCCTCCTTTGGAAAAATAAGTGGCGCAATCGCACCGGAGGCCTCCGAGGTTGCAGAGCTTTGCGTTTTCGAAGGACAGTCCGTCTGACTCTGCGCTTTGTGGGGTGTCGAAGATTTGGGGTTTGGGATTCGAGAGCCGGGGTGCGGCTCTTTGCCTGCAGGCGCGAAACTCCTGGACCCTAGGCCAGATCCTTTGAGACCGCCTGTCCCATGAAGAGGACAAACCCTTCGCACCGAGTCCAAAAACCATCAGGGCTTCAAGAAAGGAGCCTCAATGACAGGGTACTTGGATCGTGAACATCCCACAACCCACCACCACCCTCCAATTCGTGCGGACGTAGCATCAACTTGGTTATTCATTCGGAACCTCTTCACTTCCGCCCAAGCACCTCGCAGCCCTCGATGATGCTCTCATCGGTCTCTTGCCACCTCCGAGCTACGATAGGGATTCCGCATAATGCTGCACGATGCAGAGGCGGCTTTGCAACACCGGCAGACTCGCTTTCACGTAGAGTCCATTAGGAGAACAGAGAGCGGCCTTTCAAAAAGGTCCTGACAGGGGAGTCCTGAGGCACATTGGGAGGGAACCGTAACTTGACACAGGCCCATCTCTTTTCGGGTCGGTTCTTGGCCTGAGGGTTGTCGGTAGCATGCTATCGGAGACTGGACGATCAGAACCCCGTCAAAAATGACATGGAGTCCTATGATTGAACTCCCATGCCCGACATGCCTGTAGTATAGCTTAACCCCTTCCTAGGCCCTGCATTGCAGTATAGTACCACCAGTAGCATACCCCCACAGGCCCCTACAACCCTCCCATCGTAAACGTGCATCCGAAGGCGGAGACCCTTTAATCCATATATAGTTGTACTATAGTATACCCCAAGTCCCTATTCTAATTAAAATTCAGAGAAGGCACCATTTCGGCAGCCCAGTCGCCAACGACGTGGCGACCACACGCAGCATCATTCCAGACTGTCCTCGGTGGGCATTGGATGACAGGGGGGGTTTCTCGAAACTAGGGTACATGTTCTATTGGTCCTTGTATTGAGGATCCTGCTAGTTGGGTCCTTACATTTCTGCTCGATGCCTCTTCTCCGAAGAAGATGGCAACGAAGTTAATGATAGCCAGGATTCTCAAGCCTCAGGATATTACGAGGGTGATCGTATGAGCTTTCTAGCAGGGTCTGGTGTTCATGCGCACGCCATGTGCGGGCCAACATGCAGCATAAACCCCAAGCCCCATGGCCCAAACCCTCAAGCACATGAACCCATGTTGTCTGGACGAAGCGACTTGGGGTTTCTGGATTCGGATGATGGTACTACTGGCAAGAGGAAACACTAGTGATGATAGCAGCAGCGCTAATCACAATAACTGCAAGGAAACTTGGATCAACGGCCTGTAAAGAATCCTCAACCCTGAACCCCATAAGGAAGGCTGATTCCGCCCAGCCGTCTAATGCGCTCTTTCTTGACCGCGAACTCGAAAGCTTTCCTCCACAGCAGCTGTGCTTCCCAGTTTGGAGTATAGTAAAATGATATAACATGACATAACAGAATATGACATAGTATGGCATAAAATGACATGAAATGTCGGAATAAAACATAATATAACATAGCATAACATAGCATAACATAGCATATCATAACATAACACAGCATATCATAAGATGACGTAATACACAAGAGATTCTGATAGCGAATGACACGGTACAACATAACGTAGCATAACATAACATGCCATAGCAAAACATGATAGAGCAGGGCGCAAAAAGTTGAATATAACATAAACAGTAACATCTTGTACTTGCTGGCATGGTCTTCGAAATCGGATTTAAGGCTTGGGTTCGTGATGGGATGGTGAAGAAGTGAAGACTTCTGTGCAAGAGCTTGATCTGCAGCTGCAGAGTACAAGGGAAGGATGCACCCACCACAACACAAAAACTAAACTCACATTATGACTCACATTGAAAAGAGTTTTCAATGTTACGCATCACTCCATGGAAGCACATGCATGAGGAGTACTGAAGTTGAAGACGTACGCAAAACCTACAGTAAGGGCTACACACAGCAACGAACACTTACCAAGTATCTCGCCCCGAAAGCCTAGTTCCGAAACCCAAACCCCCCTCACCGCCAAATCGTAAACCCTAAACACTAAACCCTGAACCCATGACAGCACCACTGCCCGGCCTGCCGGGCTTGGGGTCGCACACCCCACCCCGGCGATAGAAGGCCATGGCCTGAAGAATGTGTCTGCTGCTTCTCCGGGTCTGCGGAACTAGGCTTTGGGCTGGGGCCTCTGCGTTTTGCAGTGCAGGAGCTGGGGTTTGAAGGGCGGGGCTTTGAGGATCTAATGCTCTCAGTGCTTGGCACACTCGCGGCGGTTTAGAAGCCAGGATTAGACGAGAGATAAGAAAACACAACACCACTCACGATCAAAAGTGAAAGCTGACGACGATGGGGGATGAGCATGACGACGGTGGTGATAACGGTGTCCATGGTAACGGCCATGGTGTTTATGACGAGTTTGCTGATGATGGTGATGACGATCATGGTGGAATGATGATGATGATAATGATGATGACGATGCTGTTGATGATGGTGATGGCGATCATGGTGGAATGATAGTGATGTTGACGATGATGATGATAATGATGATGACGATGATGATGGCGATGCTGTTGATGATGGTTATGATGGTGGTGATGATGATGACGATGATGATGAAGACGATGATTGGTGCTGGTGCCGCTGCTGCTGCTGCTGCTGCTGCTGCTGCTGCTGCTGCTGCTGCTGGTCGTCCTCATCATCGTCATCATCGTTATAAGCATCATATTGCTTCCATCATGATACAGACTGCTTGTGTTCTGAGGCTCTGACCATAGACATGGCACGGATGCCGGTAAGGCAGGGCCTTGGACTCTCCATCTTCAGGGTGTCTGGGGCTGGGAGGCCTTAAACCATACCCTAAACTCTAAACCCTACTCAGCGGAGTCGCTTGCATGTCGGGGCGCTGATCTCTTTGGCACACTAGATACTTGTCGCCGGGAGAAAACACATTTGGTAGTAGCGCTTCGCGTACTTATTGTGGAACTAGCAATAGGTGCCCACGTCACTTGCCACCCCGATGCTGGGATGTTTTCACCAAGCAAATCAACGGCCCAACATGTAGGTAGGGTAACATCTTCTGGGCAAGCCACTCGCGGCTTGTCTTTGTATCACCCGGATCCACATCCTGATGAGGGTTCTGGGCTTGGGTAGTTTGGGCTTTAGGCCAAAGCATGGGCTTCTGTGCATGAGACTTTGGAACTTGATGGGCGGGCCTGGGGTTTCAGAGCGTGAAACAGTGTCTGTACGACGGCACTGCCAAAAGAGCTGCCAACACATGCATGTGCAGTGGAAGTCTCAAGACAGAGCTAAAACCAGAGTCGCCAACAACCTCTATTGCGAATTCTACTTGGTCCGTGAAGTGCTTGAGGTTATGAGCAGGGTCGTCGCTTGAAGCTTCGTCGTCGCACGCGGGGTCGGGAAGCTATACTATACTCAAAAGAGTCTGAGGCCCCGGCTGCCAACTCCGAGGAAACCCAAACCTCAGAGCTAACTCAAAGGAAGCTTCATTCCTGAGCATCCCTGAACTTAGGGTTTAGGGTTTAGGGTTTAGGGTCCCTGAACCCTTTATGACCTGAAACCCTAAGCCAGCAACCCTGAACCTTGGTTCGGCTTTGGGCTTGGAGTTTCAAGATCTCAGGATTTCAGGGCTCGGGTGTTTTTGGACTTTGGGTTTAGGGTATAGGAGTTTGGATTGAAGTTGTTTAAGCTGCTAGGTTCCAAATGATCTGCATGTAATCAAATATAGTAGAGGCAAGAGTAACCTTCACCGGCACGGTGAAGCTCACCAGTGTTTTGGGGGGAAAACAGCAGAACTATGCAGGTATGTTTAATCATCTGAGCCAGCCATATGCCAGTAAGCGCGAGGCTGCAGGAGTCACATACACATCTTGCATAAACGACTCATGGAGATCTTCGCACGTGCTGAACCCATACCTCATTAAGATCAGTCCGGTCATCGCACGATGCTGACGTTCCTGACATACCTTCTTTCCACGGTCTCTCGGAAAATATCGGTCTGCGGTGAAGGGAGAATCTGCACGACACGCTGACGTTACGCAGAATCTCTAGCGACGAACTTGAGTTTGAGCTCGTGGCGGCGAGGGGTAGGAACACACACTTCTGCAAGACTTTCGGGCTGAAAGAGTCTGTAGCCGTCAGAAATTCGTCTTGCTCCTCCACTGAAGCCTGCAGACCACCCTAAACCCCAAACCCTAAACTAAACCCTGCATCCAAGCCACGTCCTCAGGGGCCTCTGCAGAGCTGCCCCGTGGTCGGGACATCCTAACCTCTACAGCCTAATGTGTGGGCCTGAGTAATAAAGACTGGGGGTTTTAGCAGGGCCTTATACTAAAGCTATGGAAAAGGAAGCCAACAGAATGAATGAGAAACAATAATGGAACAAGTGCTGAATCAGAGCACAAGCCCAAGGAAATAGGGCTCGTCCTTTGAGCTTGTAGGCCAAAGGTGTTACTTCCTAACTCGTCCGCTTTGGTGCCTACACTGCACTCCGAATCCTCAAGCCGGAAACCCAGTTCTCTTCCTGCATGTGTCGCACAGGGCAGCCCTACCCTAGATCGCGTCCATGGAACCTGACTTGAATTCTACTCCCCCCGAGACACCTCTGAAAGCAAACCGCGCAGTGGCCTTAATCGTGTCCCAAAATGCTTGGGCTGCTTGAATCGCCTGGCCAAAAGAGCTCGCAGATGGAGTTGCCCATGCGACATACTTGCTTATTGCAGGAGCCTTAAAGAATTGATTGACTAGATCCGGTCCGTGGCGATTGTATGGTATATATGATATGACCATATACGGACTCTAAGACCATAAGGGACATTGTTTCCAGGTGTTCGGGCTTCGGAATTGCGGAAGAGAGGTTCCGATTGCAGGCTTCACCCAAAACCGAGCCACTGAAAGACCTCCAGACTTGGACTCAGGACGGCCAGTGATGTGCCCCGGAACTTGGGCTTCTCCCTGGACTTCAACTACCAGTTGACCCACAATTGGTACCGAACATAGCTGCATCTACCCTGCTGTCGGAGAATATCAGCCTTTGAGATCGAGCTCGGTATTTCAGAGGACTCCGAAGAGCGGAGGATGGAAGACAAGTCCAGGGCCAAGGGTTGAGGCTCGGAGCTTGAAGGGCTGTCTAGTATAGGGGTTTAGGGTTTAGGGTTTAGGGTTTAGGGTTTAGGGTTTAGGGTTTAGGGTTTAGGGTTTAGGGGCTTGGGGTGTAGGGTCCCGCCGGACCTTTGGATTCCCGGTTCGAACCAGCCAGTTTTCGACAGAATCATAAGACCCAGAAAAAAGCGAACTTGGGGACGAGATCGGGGCTGCATCAACATCCGCAAAGCCCGAAAGTCCGAAACGAGGCGAAGCCTCAGAAAAACAAGGGACCCTAAGCCCGCGGCTAGATTTACATATTGGTATTCAAATTCCAAGGGCCCTGAGTCCCTCGCTTCTAGAAGCCATTAGAAACCCCACGTCAACCCTGGCCTTCGTACACTGCTCCTCCGGCGGGTACTGTGCCAACGCACCGGCATTCAATGCTCCGATGCTGGTCCCAACAATCATAGACCAATTCCTGCGCCGGGCTCCGGGAGGCTTTACGTAATGTAGTGGCCTTAATAATTAGAATAGGGTTTTGGGGCCCATTCGACTATAATTGCAATAAGGAACCCCACAAAATAGTATAGGTAATAATTTAGGCCCCTACATTACGGATTGCTGTCCGCTTTCGGGAGGACGGAGCTGCCATCCCGGATGGCTGAAACGGCCACACCTGGAGCAAGCCCTGCAACTCTGAACTTCCACTGGGCCATTATCCTACACTTCGCCCGAAACTTTGACAATCATGCCCTCATATCGTGTCCTGTACTTGTGCAGGGAATCGTTCCGACAAATGCCCTCCAAAACGCCGAGCTCGTAGGCGCCCTGGAACACTTTGTGGAGGCTGCGACATCTCTTATCAAAGGCGAGAACCAGACCCCGAACCATTCCGGACTCTCCACAGGCCAAGCCCACCATACCTCGATGAGGATGCCTACAGAACATGCACCACCTTCACAAGCGGCAAAACTGAGATTGGCCTTCCTTGGCTCTGGCTGATCAAGTCCAGGCAACACCGCCCCATGCCAGCAAAATTCTGCTCTATTGAATCCACTTAGTCTTCTATCAACACGCAGACATTCTTGCATTCGCAACGCCGAGCTTCGAAGAGACCCTGACTGCACTTCAGCGCTACTCATGGGCCACAGTCGGCCACAACCCTCCTACACCCTAAGCCTAAACCCTAAACTCTCAAGGGCCCTGAAGCCCAACCCTTAAGCCCCCAAATCCGAGAGCCCCATGCCCTCTCGCCCTAAACCCACGAACCCCCGAACCTCTGAACCTCTGAACCCCTGAATTTAGGGTCGAGGGTTTGTTTTCCCTAAACCCGACCCCAAGCCACGCACCTTGGCGCCTCCGCCCGAGAGCACGAGGGCAGTGAAGTTGCCCTGTCGGTAAAAAAGCTATAAAGCTCAAAGGCTTAGGACCTTTCGGGTTTTGAGTTGTCAGGGTTTGAGTCTGGAGTTTGAGGGTCTCTTCGGGCTTTGAAGCTCTTGGAGCACTTGTCCTCGAACCTCGGGGGAGAATCCCGTGGCAGCGAGCCTATGAAACCCACAAGCAGTCACCGCGACCTCTGCGAGAAGGAATGTCCTCCCTGACTTGGCGGTGGGTTTCCTGCTGCTCGTTTTGGAATTTTGCAGTCACAGCTGCCACATTTGTTGCATACCATAAGTGTGTATGCTCACTCCCCAACCGATGCATCAATCCCTCTGAGGCCTCTTGCCGCATGGAATCATTGGACCCAACTCTTCAGCTAAAGACAGGCTCCACTCAAAAGAAGCCAGGCACTGAAGCTTGCAACCCTATTCGCCAAGATCCTAAAACGTTGCAGTCATACCCTCGACGTGCCCCGAAGCGCAACCAAGACAGGCCCAAACAAACGTGGCTTGAACTCATGGACCCCCAGACCCAACCCCGTTCTTCTGCCTTGCCACGAACCCGCTTCCTCTCTGGGTGACGGGATCGGTGAGCTGCAGCGGCGGAGACGTTTGAAGGCTTGAAATTTGCCATGTTTCGGGACAAACCGTCTCTAAGCCTCAGCCATCAGTGTACTTGAACCCTGGCCCTGGAGACTTGCGGGATTTACGACTGTGGTTTCAGGTTCTTCCACTGCACTAGGACGAAGCGATAGGTCCGGGGAGCTGAGTCCTAAAGGCCAGGCCTAGGCGGATTTTGGGGACCTTGAACTCCCGGGCAGGGTCGAGGACGTAGGGCTTCAGGGCGCAGGGTTTGGGGTATTGTGCTCCGGGCCTGCGTCCCGCAAAGCTTGCAGACAGAAGCTTTAAAGGCTGGACCAATAATTGGTGTTTCTGAAAATTACGAATCGCCCATTCGGCCTACTCCTCTCTGAATTGCTCCGTCCTCTTCCAGATCTCCACACAAAAGCCTTTTAAGGAAGCCCTAAACCCCAACCCTGAAACCCGAACCCTGAAACTCCGAAACCCGAACTCCAGGTGGTTTGATGGTCCCAAACCCTAAACCCTAATCCCTAATCCCTCAACCCTACACCCCCCTGTTTCTGTTTGGGGGACTGGGCCTGGCTTCGTCCAGTTGCTCTTCGGCAGGCACTGCCCGTTCACTGCGCACCTGAGATGTTGGGAAGTCCTTGGGTCTACATCTCAGGTTTTACAAGTGCTCGATATGGTGTTCCCCGAGGGTTTAAGGCGCTTGAATTTCTGTAAGGTTTTATAGGTCGCGAACGATTTTCGCAGGATTTGCAGATTGTGGTGTTCTGGTTTCCTATCGTTCTTCTACACCACTACTGAAAGAGTTTGCCAGCGGACTGGGCTTAGGTCTGGGGATATACTCCTTCTTCGCAGATCCCGGTGTAGATTTTTCACGTCACGACCTCAAATGAGCTTTAGGATCCCAGGCTTAAAGTACACCGATTTCTACGAAACCCTCGGCAACAAAAGCAACAGGGAACAAAATCACAGGTTGGGTGCCCCTGGACCATCTGCATCCGGGCGCTCATTTGGGCGGCAAAGGCAGTGTCCCTGGACACACTGTGCGTTTCGCCAGTCCTCGGCTGTTGGCTTTGGTGTCTGACGGCGTAGATCGCACGCATAGTCCCACACACATGTATGTATGTATGTATG